TGTTCCAGGCACTGGCTAAGGGGCCTCCGTAGAAAGCATCTGCCCAGAGACAGATGAGGTGGGTCAGCTCCAGTGCTGATTGGCTGCTTTCCTGGGGTCTCTCCAGTCTGACCCTGTGTGGCAGCTCTCACAGGTTTTTATTCTATGAAGTGGCTGCATCAGCCATCAGGTGGAGCGGGCTCACTCCCCTACTTCTTCCTTTATCTCCATCATGTCTGGGAAGCTGGCTCTGTGGCCCCCCAGAGGCCCCTGGACAGCAGCTGTGATGGTGTGGCTGGTGGCGCTGAGTGTCCCAGTGGCTGAGGGCGGAGACTCTCCACGTGAGTGCAGGGCAGCTGCTCCGCTGCCAGCTCGGGATGGGCTCTGAGGGACCCGTGGCTGGGGCGTGGGGGGCTATGACCTGAGAATAGTCTGTGATCAGCATTTCCTCTTTGGGAAAGGGAGCTGCTATGTTCTCATGTCCGCCGTCTGGTGACAAGGTGAGGACATGGCCACCTCAGGGGCTCCATCCTGGGGATGTCACAGTGGGAGGGAGGAGACTGGCCACTGCCAGTGACAGGAAAATGGTTATTTTTGAAGGAAGATAGGATGTTTCCAAAGAGGAGACAGCAGGGCTTGTCCCCAAGACCTTGTCTGGATTAAAGACTAAGGGGCTCTGGTTGGGGAAACGTGTGCAGCAGGTCTATAGTGTCAGATTAGGGGAAAGGGCTCCCCATCCCTGAGTCTGAGCGGAGGGCTCACAGCAAACCCTGGCACCCCTGGTCTTCCTACACAATTGCCTTTATGCTATGGGTGCTCTAAGCAACTGCCCGAGCTGGCCACTGGCACAGTTCGCCTGGGATCTACCTGATCTAACTCGGAAGCCTGTGCCCTTTCCATGAGGAGCTCCCTTTCTGGGGTTGGAGGGGTGGGTCCCTGGGACAGCACTGTTGGGAGGAAGGCTCTGTGCCAGGGAGGAAGGGCGAGAGCGAGCCTGTGGGGCGAGGACACTGGGTTCAGGGCTTCCCATCATTGCTCCCTGGACTCTCTGGTCTGTGGGGACAGTGGTCTCTGAGGTTCCCGGATTCTTTGGGAAATGGGACCTCAAGGGCAGGCGTCCTGACAGCTCTAAGGCGGGGCCTTGATGTGAGATCGCCTTACAGCCCTCCAGCCTCAGTTGGGATCCCAAGTCCCAGGGCTGTCCCTGGAGACTCTGTCCTCTCCATCCCTCCATACAGGGAGACTGTTCCAGGCCGGGTGGAAGGGGGACAGAGGGAGCTAGGTCCAGTGGGGCTGGAAGTCTGTTCCCCAAGGACAGTCCCAGGCGTGAAGGGCGTGCTGGCCTGGAGCTGAGGCCTGATGGGCGGCTTCCCCGCAGGGGACTTCGTGTACCAGATTAAGTATCTGTGCTACTTCACCAACGGGACGCAGCGCGTGCGGGCTGTGGAGAGCTACATCTATAACCTGGAGGAATTAGTGCGCATGGACACCGACGTGGGGGAGTACCGCGCGGTGACCGAGCTGGGGCGACCTGACGCAGAGTACTGGAACAGCCAGAAGGACCTCCTGGAGCAGAAGCGGGCCCAGGTGGACACGGTGTGCAGACACAACTACCAGAATGAGGCCCGCACGACCTTCCAGCGGCGAGGTGAGCGCCTGCCCCAGCCCAGAAGAGACTCTGTGCTGGGAGGGCGGCCTCTAGGACCCAAGCTCTGCCTTGGTGGGTAGAGGAAGGAAGGGGCGTCAGTAGATGAAGGAAGGCAGAGGGAGGGATGGCGATGGGACCAAGGGGGCCCTATGGGAAACTGAGGGAGATGGAAGGGGACCTAGGACAGGCATGCAGGTTGGGACGGGACCTGAGGTGGCACCGGGGCAGCATCTGCACAGACCCGGAAGTCCACCCACATCCCAACATCCCCAGAGCCTGCCAGGCCTGCAGAGTGGGCCCACCGCATCTGCTCCTCTTTCCACCCATTCTGCATCTCCCGCCTGGCGCTCAGTTGTGTCTGCCTCCTCCTCCCTCATTTTGCAGGAGTTGTCCAGTGTCGCTATGCCCCAGGCCCCCATGTCTCTGTGCGTTGTATCCTAGTGCCACACATCCCCTAACCCCTTGCGCTGGGAGCTCCCAGCAGGCCCGCCTCCAGCTTAGCTGCCGGGTGGGTTGGGGCTCCACACTGCCACCAGAGCCCCGCACACATGTGCAGTATATCACAGTCGTGAGGAAGTGTTTTAACTCTTGGGCCTGAATTCTGTTCTCTAAATGTCTGTCACTAGTCCTGCACCTCTTTTAGCAGAGACTGTGAGTTATGTTTCTGGGCCTCTGCCTACACATTCCCTGGCGTAATGCGCTCACTCAGCCTTTCTGAGACTAATGAGTACATTCTCAGCTGCCATCACTGAGGCTCACTAGAAAAGAGAAGAGCCTTAAAACTGACTTTATTATTTGTGCTATTTTGCTTAATGCAGTAAACTCTTGTTGACTTGGATCTTATTAATTCAGAATTTGTGAATGCAAAGTCTGAGAAAAAATGCTAAAAAGCAAAACAACACTTCGATGGTGTAAGGCAGAACTTTAATTTCTTAAAAAGCTCAACAAATGGTGCAATAGAGCTGAAGTTTTGAAGTAAATAAATTGATGCTATTCAATTATTGAATAAAAATTGTTTCAGGGTTTTATTTTACCTACACCCTGCCTATCTTCTCTCCCTCTGTCTCCCTTCTCCCCAGAATCCACTTTAGATATTTTTAATTGAATTTTATTGGGGTGACATTGGTTAATAAAATTATATAGGTTTCAGGTATACAATTCTACGATACACCATCTGTATATTGTATTGTGTGTTCACCATCCCAAGTCAAGACTCCTTCCATCACTATTTATTTCCCCTTTATCGTCATTTCCTTCCTCCCCAACCCCCTTTCCCTCTGGTAATGACCATACTGTTGTCTGTGTCTATGAGGTATTTTGTTTGTTTGTTTGTTTTGCTTAATCCTTCACCTTTTTCACCCAGTCCCTCCACACCCTCCCACCTGACAGCTGTCAATCTGTTCTCTGTATCTATGAGTCTATTTCTATTTTTTTTGTTAGTTTATTTTGTTCATTAGATTCCATATATAAGTGAGAGCATATGTCGTTCTCTGACTGGCTTATTTCACTTAGCATAATATTCTTCAGGTCCATCAGTTGTTTCAAAGGATAAGAGATCCTTCTTTTTAACAGCCATTCCATTGTGTAAATGTACCACAGATTTCTTATCCACTCACTTACTTACCAATGGGCACTTGGGCTGCTTCCTAATTTTGGCTAATATAAATAATGCTGCAATGAACATAGGGATGCATATATTCTTTTGAATTAGTGTTTCAGGTTTCTCCAGATATATCCCCAGAAATGAAATCACTGGGTCATAAGGCAGTTCCATTTTTAATTTTTTGAGGTAATTCCATACTGCTTTCTCCAGTGGCTGCACCAGGCTGCATTCCTACACACAGAATCACCATTAACTTCAGGGGCAGATATTGTGAATGGTAATTATAACCATGTATTTCTTGACAATCACCTTACCAAATACTCTCTGTATAATGCAATTTAATTTCACAACTACTTGTGTGCTAGGAGCTAGCATGACCACTTTAATATGCTAATATTGGTACATGATATTTGAATTGGTACTTGAATTAATTAGCCCAGTTGCTCACTACACAGCAGTCACTGTGTTCTGTATTGCAGGTGTGTACTACATGTATATCATGGGAGCACAGCCTCATGAAAACAGTGATGACCAGAAGCAGCAGAATGAGTCTGTTCTTGCCTATTTTCAATGTTGGTGGGGATGGAAAGATCACTAGTGAATCCCTAGTCTGGCCCCAGTGTTATCTGCACATGTTCACATAACTTTTGCTGACTTTACACTCTCTCACCTTCTGACCCACATCCTAATGCCACCAAGTGCTTATATTTTTGCTATTTAAAGTCTATTTTCATAAAAAGTATTCTAACATTTTTCTTTTGAACTCATGTTCTGTGTTTTTACTCCCAATCTGTCTAAGCTGACAGATTTTGTAAATCCAGTTAGCTGACCATGCTTTTAGTCAGTCCCCAGGAAGGAGAACCTGACAAGAGGTTAAGTGAGCCTGGATGGTGTGGCTCAGTGGTTGGGCATTGTCCCATGCACTGGAAGGTCGTGGGTTCAATTCCCGGTCAGGGCACAGGCTCAGGTGTGGCTTGGATCCCTGGTTGGGGTGTATGCAGGAGGAACCGATCAGTATTTCTCTTTTTCCTCCCTCTTCTCGCCCTAAAATAAATAAATAAAAACATATTTAAAAACACACACATGAACTATTTAGTACAGTTTTACACTATGGGAATAAGGGAGATGTAGTAAAATGGCAAGAGAGGTAAGGGATAAGATGTGTAAGTAGGGAGGAAGAGGTCTGTTCTATTTGACCACATAAGGCATCGAGACATGGGCAAACGTAATGTTTATCAGTGTTAATTGTTTTCAAAGTTCTCTTTTCCTTCAAAAAGTACAAACTTTTGAAATAACATTTATTTTGTTATCTCTGTTACTAGATTGCAAGTTCTATAAGGGCAGGGACCACGGTCTATTGTTTATCTTTCTATGCCTAGTGCTTGTGGAATGTGTATTTGTTGAATGAATGATTAAATGAATCAGTAAATGGATAAAACATAGGTGGCATAGGAGATGTGGACATGAAGTTTATTATTTAGCTAGAGGCCCGAAGCAGGAAATTCACCCAAGGGGCTTGGCCCTTCTAGCTCCGAGTTCTTCCAGAAGTTCATTTGGCTGTCTGGTCTGATTATTGTATTATGCTTTTATTATTATAGATAATACAATTAAATGGGAGTTTGCCACAGAATGACATCCGAGCTGGGTTAGGCTAACAGCTGAGAGGGGTTTGTTGATGGGTGACATGTGAGAAGTGCTCCTGCCCTTAAATCCTGTCCGTGTTTCCTGCTGCGAATCGTAGGGAAGAGCCTGTTTGAGAACATTGCTTCGGAGGAGGGATGTGATGCTCACTGCTGTCCTGCTCTGTTGGACATAGAACTGTCTGTAACGTTCCTAATTCTCAGTCCATGTTACTGTTCATAGAGCCATGACCACTGTTGATGGGCCCCCAGAGACTCAAACTGATGTGTTTTCTCCACTGTGAGGAGCTGCAGGACCAACAGGAAACAGGGTCACTGCCCTGGTGTGAGTCCCTAGAGCTGATCCCCACGGTCACCATCAACAGGTGGAGGGAAAAGAAGTCCAGGTTTTTCATCTTTATTTACGAACATATTATGAATAGTGGCCTGTATAATGTAGCAATTTAAACACATAAAGGGCTTCATTTTTATCAATTGGTAACAGAATATCTCCCACAAAATGATTGCTGTTTGCTCTTGACCCTGAAAAGTTAACTGACTCATGTGTTTACTCGAGCTAATCAAGTGGCCCAGCTCGGGTCCTCATCCTGGGCTCAGAATCCAGGGATCTTTCCTGCTGGTTCCACCTCCTAGGCATCCACTAGGGAGACTTGCCTGTGCCCCACATCTCACTCCGTCTTTTCCTCTCTGTCACCCCTCCCCTCCCAGTGGAGCCTACAGTGACCATCTCCCCGGCCAGGACAGAGGACATGAACCACAAAAACATGCTGGTCTGCTCGGTGACGGATTTCTATCCAGCCCACATCAAAGTCCGGTGGTTCCGGAATGACCAGGAGGAGACAGCCGTGCGTCGTGTCCACCCCCCTTATCAGGAACGGGGACTGGACCTACCAGATCCTTGTGATGCTGGAAATGACCCCCCAGCGAGGAGACGTCTACACCTGCCGTGTGGAGCACCCCAGCCTCCAGAGCCCCATCGCAGTGGAGTGGCGTAAGGGGCAGTTTCTTTCCTGCACTCTGGTCCCCACAGACAGAGGGCAAACAGCGTCCCCTGGCCATCCCAATGCATCCCTATCCCTGATGTCACTGCTGAGTGGATATCATAGGACACTAGAGCCCTCTGGTGCCATGGCAGAGGCATCAGATCTCATTGTGTTTCCAGATTCTAGGGAGGTCACCCTACACCATCTGGTGACAAGGCTTGGGGTCCAAGGTTAGGATGTATGTGAAGGAGCAGCATCCACTCCCCCCATCACCATCCTCAGTGTCCAAGGGCTTACTGACTGGTCTCCCTTGGGGTGGAGGCTCCCAAAGGGCCCCTGTGGGTTTGGGGACAGAAGTTGACACCCAGGCTCTGCTCCCCAGGGGCACAGTCTGGATCTGCCCAGAGCAAGATGCTGAGTGGCGCCGGGGGCTTCGTGCTGGGGCTGCTCTTCCTGGGCCTGGGCCTTGTCATCCGTCACAGGAAACAGAAGGGTAAGCAACTGGGGAAACGGGAAGATGGGCTGTGCCCGGGACCCTCTGTTGAGAGGGCCTCTGCTTGTAGGTGTAACGCTCCTCCTGACCTGGAAGGCAGGAGGCTGGGCTGGTGGTGGGAGGAGACAGACAGCTAGGTGAGGCTTTGGACTGGATTTTACTGGTTGAAAGCTAGCCCTGACACAGGTGTGACTGTGGCAAATGTCCTGAGAGCTGAGAGCTCATCGCTGTCTCGCTGGCCCCTTTCCAGAAGCTGCTTCTTTAAGAAGGTCAGCACATTGGCTTCCCTTCCACTCATTTGAGGGATTGTAGCTTAGGGGTAAGGCCTTGTGGCTAATGGGTAGGGAGGAAATGGATTTCCAATTAAGTTGCTTATCTCGTTTCCTGTGGGCGGGAGAGAGACTGGCTGTTTGTGTGATGAGACCTTTCTCTGTGTAAAGTCCTTATGTAGGATCTCATGGTCCTCTGCCCCAGGTACTGTCTCTGCTCTGATTTAATGGGGGAGTAGGGGGAGGTAAGGACAGGAAAAGGAGGAAGGAGCATAAAGTGAGTGTTCCTGGTCACAAAGGGTTCATGGCCTATTCCCTGCCAGGGGATCAAGGGTTAGGGGAGAAGCTCACCTAGTTTCTGAAGGAAGCTCTGGGCTTGTTATCCAGAATCAGGTTTAACTTTGGTGAATCTTTCTGTGAAACGTGGAGCCAGAGCCATGTCTTGGGTGGTAGACACGGGGATGATGCCCACTTTGTGTCACATGCTGGTGGCTCCTACCTGTGGGCATATTTATAAGTGATTCCTAGTGGTAGAAGGAGGGTTAGTTATCAATAAATTTGCTAAAAAGATTGAAATGCTCATATCCCCCAAGGATAACAGCTGTTCCCCCGCCTCCTGCATGTCTGGGTGGAACTGAAGTGCGTGTCCTCTTTAGCTTAACTCACCCCAACACAGACTCTGGGGGATGTGATGACCTTATGCCCAGACTTCAGCTTTACCTGATACTGCAGGGCCCTGAGAGGAGGGGACAGGGTTCGCCCCTAAGTGCTGGGTGCTGATCACTCTCTCTTCTACAGGGCTCCTGCGCTGACTCCTGAGGGTACTTTGACTGGGATCGGCTGTGTTTCTTCTGAAATGCCTGCTTGTTGTCCTCAGGCAGAATTCCCAGCTGCCTGTGAGCCTGCTCCCTCTGAGATCAGAGTCCTAGTTACTCTGATGCAATTGGCCAGGCATCTCCTGTGACTTTACCCTGGCGGCAGCTGTGAGCTTGCAGTCTGTCCTGTGGGCTGCCAGCTGAGTCTACTCAAGGCCCCCAAGGCATTTTTCTTTTGTTTCTCCTACTCTATCCCCTACCCTCCCCCACTCCCCACTGTCAAGAGAAGCACATTAAAGCCTTTACCTGACTCCAGAGCTTTTATCATAATTAAACATGTTATCTGTATCTGAGCCTTCTTAACTGGGTGGAGGTAAGAAGTCACTGCAGAATGCAAGGAACATGTTTTGTTCCTTGAGGGAGACTAGAGCATCTTGGGGTGCTGTGATAAACGTGGGCAGAGGGAACGGAACATCAATTCAATCGTCCTGCTTCCTGGCTCTTCGGTATTGATGTTCCGTGCAGTGGCCTTAGGATGTGCCGGCCTCTCTTCCAGTCTGGTGGGTAGAGTGTACGTCAGCATGGAGGAATTACCTGGGCCCAGGTACAGTGGCCCCTGGTGTTTCAGAGAACCAAAATGATGTTTCAGTTGTCTTGGCAAGTCACATTGATGAAGGTCAATTTTTATTTTTGGAAAAGTAAAACCAGCAATAAAGGTAATATTCTTGGTTCCAAATGATTGAAACCCAACTGAAGTTTAGTTTGTTCATGTTATGAGGAAGCCTGGGGTTAAGTTGATTTCAGAAAAGACTGGATCCATGTATTCAATGAAGTCTTTGTCTCTCCTCTTTCTGTTATAACTACCTGGGCACCTTTCTGTCTTTTCCTACATCTCTCTTTGTTCCTGTATATTTTTTGTGTGTCTCTCTGTCTCTCACTCTTTCATTGCATCTCTGTCTCTATTTCTAGCTACACCTCTGCCACCATTTACCTGCATCTATTGACATCTCTCTGTTTCTTTTTGCATCCCTCCCTAATTTTTCCATCTTCTTATCACTGCACAACTTATCTTTGTTTCTGTGTGGGTGTGTGACTGCCTGTCTCTGTGTATGTTTCTAGAGTGTCTACCAAAGTTTGAAAATTTTAGGAAAGATTCTGGTTGACTGCACCATAGTAACATGTGCACCTCTCAAAAACACCGTCATGCACATGGATGCAGACAGCCTTACGTTCACCCCCTTTAGTAGGAACATAGACTGGACCTTCCTGATCTTGGTGATGCTGCAATGACTGCCTAGTGTGAAGGGGTCTACACCCACCAGGTGCAGTACCCCAGCCTCCAACCCCATCACTGTGGAGTGGCATAAGTGGCAGATTGTTTCTGTGGACCCACGAGGTGAGTGGAGAGTTTCCTCTGCTCTTTGGGTGCTTTGCTGAAAGTGCTGACTCATACCCATCTCACCCCTTGTCTCCTGCATAGTCACTTATCCGTGGATATAGTGACTTGTTGATTTCTGTTGATATTCTCTTCCCAGATGTTAAAGAGGTCCCTGCACACTGAGGCTCCCTTGACATGGGTCAGCACAGAAAGCTGGTCTCCATCTCAGTCTCTGGGTTTGTTATATGGCCAGATGGCTGAGAGCTTGTCTTTGAGGTAATGGAAGGCCTCCCCTCCTCCCTGCTCCCTCACCCACTTATTGGGCCTGAGGAGGCAATGGTAGCTCCTTCCCTCTCCTGGATGAAGTCAGAATGGAGAACAAGGCTTTCTTGGAGCCATTGTCTTGTGTACCCCAGGCTGCAATGCAGGTTACCAGACATGGGCACTGTGAAGGTGTGGGCAGATACACTTAAGAGGATTCTGCTCCCCAAGGTCATAGTCTGAATCTGCCCAGAACAACATGCTGAGTGGTCAGAGGTTTTGTCATCTTCTCAGGATGGACACTGTCATTTATCAAAGGAGTCAAGAGGGGTGACACTTAGGGAAATGGGGAGCACTTGTGTGGGTGTCTAGCGAACCATTATTCTCTATATGTAGCACTTTGCTTTTGATGCTGCAAAGACAAGAGGCAGGGCTGGATACTGAACCTGGCACAGAGTTTAGGCAGGCATTGAGATCTGACTTTTCTAGTTGAAACATAAGTCCTCTTATAAGGGTAAGTGCTAGAGTATATTTTAGGGCATTCTTATGGTTCCACACTGCCACACTAGCCCGACCTGCTGGGAGATTCTTTTTAATGACAGGGTCAGAGTCTTCTTCCCTTCCAGTTTTAGCTTCATAGCTACAAGTATTTTTGTTTTCTTTTTTGCACCAAGATTTCATTGGGTAATATAATCTTTAACTAATAATTTAATCAACATAACAGTACATCCTTTACAAACGCGTTTCTACAAAAAGAGCCAGTAGGGGTACATCTTGGAGAAATGAATGGGTGTGCTAGAGAAAAACCTGTTGATATTTACTCTGTGGCTTTCCCCTCCATCATATCAGTCAGTATGTCTTTCAGAGACAGTGGCATTCATTAACATTCCATTAGCTTATGCACATTTCCCAGATTCCTCTGTGGTTCGTGTGGAATCATGTGACTAGTACCAGCCAATAGAACTTGAAAGTGGGTGTTAACTGTGTCTACTTTGTCTTTTTCTGGAAGCTGTTGTTGCGGTGATGGTGTATAAGATGTTGGAAACTTCATAAGCCAAGTCTCCTGAATGTCTGGAGAATTGAGTCTTCTTTATTAAATTAAGGCACGAAGATTAAATTTCTACTGCAGGTTAATATCTTACTGCAACGTAACCTTGCCTCCTGACCACCTGGGAATGTTTAACTTAAGGAACAGAATTCATAAGTTAATAGGGTGAGTCAGTTGAGTTAATGGAATTTAAGAGATGATAAATTTAAAAAAAATATTTATTACTTTGTTTTTTTCCACCCACAAAATATATGTATCCCAGCGACTAGAACAAGTGTTTCTGTAGAGATGCTGTTCTGACCCATCTATCTCCTCCCTTCAGTACTGAAGGATCTATTCCCTCAGTTGCTGGCTGACAGTCCTCAGCTCTCAGCTTTCCTCCAGAGTTGCCTTAGGTGAGGATGGCTGCCTCACCCAATTTCAGCCCCCTTCCCAGGGGATCTCTCCAGTGACTGCTCAGTGTGGGGCTATCGAAGTCCCAAGCCTCACCCTAATTTGGGTCAACTCTGAGGGCTCTTGATGCTTCATCACTCCCTTGAGATTTGGATGAGGACTTTTGTGGACTCTATAATAGTCCAACTTCTAAAACTCTGCTTTAAATCATGAGTCATCTTACATCATTCTTCTTTCAGTTACTATTTTAATTTACATGTACTTATTTTTGTATCTTCATCCCTTAAGTATGGCCTTGTTGGAAGATGAAGGTATTGACGACATCACTGCTCTTCCTTCCTCCTCCCCTATATGCTTCCACTTGCCAAATTGAGGTACCGCACTTTTAAATAATATTGTCAAAATTGAAAATATTAACATTCTTCTGTAACAATGATTTTCTTGGGTTCTGTTCACAGCTTATTTCTAAAAGTTGAAGAAAAGTTATTTAACACTACTAATATAATTTATAATGAATCTATTTTCAGTGATGTCCTGGATTTGAATACGCTGTTTCTTAGATTCCTTGTCTTCTAATTACTTAAAAAAAAGTCACCGGTTTGGCTCAGTGGATAGAGCGTCGGCCTGCAGACTGAAGGGTTCCAGGTTCGGTTCCAGTCAAGGGCATGTACCTGGGTTGCGGGCACATCCCCAGTGGGAGATGTGCAGGAGGCAGCTAATCGATGTTTCTCTCTCATTGATGTTTCTAACTCTCTA